AGAACAATAACGATATCAGGCCACAAACCATGCCATTTAGCTAATTACATATATTAACTAGTATAGCTACACTGCATTATCCTGAAACATGTACTCGTCAAACAGAATGCAACTTATTCTCAGTTTATTTACTTAAGTAGAATATAAAATATTCTTTTACGAAGTAATAAAACTTTTCATTGAGTTATTGTTGTGCACCTCAACGTCGATTTGTCTATTTAGTCGAGGCTATAAACTCTGGTTTATTCAACTTTGTGACTTTTTGTGTGATTACTTTTCAAAGTGCAAATAGTGAACGCTACACCATAACGTTCTTATGCCACTAACTGCATAGCATTAACATATCATTTGCGCCAGGCAACTTAAATGAGCCAAGTTATCAATTATTATGTTAATAACATAGCAGAAATACAACAACGCCAAATAAGCAATGGCAAGTGCGGCAAAATAGCAACAGCAGTGGCAGAAAAAGTTCCTTCAACTTTCCTTCCGATGAAACGTCAATGAAAACCTGTCATTTGTGAAGCTAGCACAGCCGCCATATTGATTTCAGAGTAAAGCAACATGGCGTACGACACAGAAGACACGATTAACTGCATGCGATTTTCGTGTTCAATTCATACACACTACATTATTTATTTTTTCGAATGAAGCAATGAATTACTCACCAGCCAAAAATTTAGAATAAATTAAAAAAAAAACAAAGCAAATAAAATAAATAATAAAGAGTTAGCGATATAAGGATACTTTCGAATATTATAGAAAAACTGAAACAAATGGTACTATATAAGTGGAAATTGTAGCCAAAAAAAAAAAAAATAAAACTACAATAAAACTGCAATACAATTGTGTGAGAGAAATGTTAACAAAACTAGCATAGAAACTATAAAAAGAACATAAAGTACGCTAGCTTATAAACAGTAATACCAACATCAAGACTCGAACTCGAAGAACAACTGGAACAGATGAATATGGAAACGGAAACGTAGAAGTAAAACAACAGAGTTGCATGCAATGCAGTGTGGTTTGGTTGCTGCTATTGACAGGTGAATTTGTGCACAAGTGTTTGTGTGTATCTGTGTAAGTGTAAGTGTGAGTTTGTCACGGTTCATTTGTCAAAATTTAGAAATATAAGAAATTACCGTCATGTTGAACTGTTATAGCTGCCGTTATGCAGCTAATTTAAAGGCAATGAGTGAATGTGGCATGCGACATGGTGCGACGTAGCGTGCTTTGCTATACGATTATTTAGTGTATTTACTAGTATTTTTCTATTTGCTTTTCCTTTGAAAAATTTCACTTTATGATACGGAAACGGAGTGCAGTACGCCTTGCGAGGGCTAAGCTAACATGCTAACATACATTAAACTTGTCTAAAACTACTCAACAACAATAATACGGTAGGCAACACTTATAATTAGCAAGCAGTACTAAAATCAACAACACGAGCGGGGACAGGGATGTTCAATGCCACAAAATAACTAAACAGTAATTAATTTCAGTAAAGTGGCAAACGGATTCTAAGCAGCAAATGCAATTTTATATAAATTTCAGTGTTGACATTTTCGTTTAGAATTTTCTGCGTTACGGAAATGTTGCGGTTACTAATGAAATGTTGCCATTTAATAAAATTTGATTTATTTTAATAAAAATACTGCACTTGATTGCAATTTAATTAAAGGTTCACTACCAATGTTAGTAAACACAGGGGATTTATATACCTCACTTCAGTTCGAAATAATAATGAAATTAATGGAATTTATAGTGTCAGTGGTCAGTAATGAATTCGAAATGTTTATTTTTTAAAATTTTAATAAATTTTAAATTAATTGTCATTATATGCTTTTTTATTAGTATTGTAAGTTAGTATGATAGTAAAGGCCATGTGTCCCAAATGTAAACTAGAGGGCAGAAGGAAACTGAATTGGGATTATCTACTATGTCACATAATTTCTATCTGGTCATGGATATTTTCGAAAATAACTAGACAGAAAAAGAAGAACAGGCCAATTTTATACACTGCTAAGTTCGTATATATTAAAAATTGATATATATAGATTTTCTATATATACAGTAGATACATCTAAATGATATGCGGAAGATAACATAACTCTGAAGGTCACTTCACTATCGAGAATATTATTAAAAAAATGAAAGAACTAGAAGAAAATTCGAACAAAAGTACACAATTCAACAGAAACCTGCTTCGAAAAAAGGAGAAAGATTTGGAGGCAAATTAAACTAAAGCGAAAAGCAATCTGAAAAGCTATTAATTTGGAAGAGAAGCGGTGGTCTTTATGTAGATTTTACGGCGTGGATGAATAAGAAATTCTTCGCAAAGAAATACGAAAGTAGTTTTGTCGAAAACCATCCCAAAAAACAAAATGAGATGACAGTGCAGATAGCACTCCACTTCATCATTACAAATTACAAAAAAAAAAAAATAAATACCATGTTTTACCTACAGTCTTATTATTAAAGGTATAATGATTATACGCTCCTTTTTTACTATGACAAAAAACTAGCGAAACAAGTAGGTCTTGTGGTATATGAGGTCAATACAAAGGACTTTGTGTCAACAAACAAATTTCCTGAGCACCTTGGCACCTATGTTATTGTTAATAACTACAAGCTCTAAGTGGTAAATGACTTTGTTTATTTGGGAACCAGCATAAACACTACCAATAATAACAGCCTCGAGATTCAAGAATCATTCTAGTCAAAAGATGTTTTTCCGGGCTTTGTAGGGAATTAAGAAATACAACCACCATCTCTTGACAAAGCATTATGCCGGTCCTGCTGTATGATGCAAAAGATTAAAAAATAATTAACAGTGCAGACTTTGGGAGCATTTAAAAGAAAAATTCTTCGGAAGATTTATGGTCTCTTATGCGTTCGGAAGAAGTATCGTATTAGATGAAACGATAAGCTGTATTGAATATGCTGCAACTCTGATATAGTTAAGCGCATAAAAGTTCAGCGGATTCTTTTGACTTGCTCATGTTGTACAAATAGATAGAACTGCTCAGGCTAAAAAGATGTGTGATTCGGTTCTCGCTGAACAAACAACATGGTGAAGTAAAACCGCATCTTCGGTGAAAAGACAATATGACTAAAATTATAAAGAGACTCAGTACTACCAACTCCCGATAGGAAACCACTAAAACATCTAGACTATTCTTATAGACTTAGTCTATCCTATAATGATGTTTATCGAGTCTTGTGGTTCTGGAGAGAAATGGAAAGTGGTTGCTCCTTATGTTTCAATTATAGGCATTGAAACATTTAACCATTAATAGATTTAAAATCTATTACTTTTCTAACTATTTTCAAGATGACAGTCCTATCGTTTGGAATTATAGACATAGTAAAGTTAATAGACTTATTATGTTGGTTAGTTTTTACTTGAATAGAGGAGTATTTATCTACATGCTGATTGCTTTGCTGTTTATATGTTCTTTTGGTGGTTTATCTGGTATGACGTATAAATTATGTTTAACAATGGGTTGTTATATATGCTGGTATATACCTCGTCAATACCTCAAGAAAGTAATGTTACTTATAAACTGACTCCGCTTACTATCTTCGTTTCATTAATATCGATTTTTTGGTACAGGTATTTTTACAATTAGAAATAGAACAATTTCTATTCTAATTAAATACTTAAATATTTAATTGTTAATAATAATAGTTGAAATTAATATAATTTATTAATAAACACAGAATTCTGTAAAGAAAATATTGTGGTCTAGTAAAACTGAATCACTTTCTTAAGGAAACCACTTTAAGAGCTTGAAAATTAGTTTTTACAGATGTGCGTCTGTAAAGTTTTCATCTTTTGTCTAAGAAAAAACATTTATTTCACCGCTCGTTTGTGTATTTCTTAATATTTTGTTTGTTTATTTTTTGTTTGTAAAATAAGGTTTGACCTTACTTTTAAATAAACAACAGCTTCCGCTTAACGAAACTTAGTAAGCGGAAGTTAACTAAAAGTCCCTACGAAACGTAAGATGTTATTGCGCTCATAATGATAAAGGGTCCTTAAAGTTTTGCGTTCAAAAGGTAAAATGTTGAAACCACGACCATCAGGTGGAAATGGCAAGCATTTCTCACATTTAAGCCGGAAGAGCAATTCACAACTGATGCTGTGTCTGTGCGTGTATGCGGCAAAGAGATGAAATTCTGGAAGTCGGAAAAGTGTGAGTACATAACGCCTAAGTATGAGTAGAAGACATAAGCCGCATATCTTATGTCGTAAATAAATTACGCTAGTTAGACTAATGTGCCTCGTAAAACACTTTTAAGTTACTTACGTATGTTGAATATAAGACAATTATTTTATAAAAATTCTAATGTACAATAAATATTAGGTTTCTATTGCATAAAAGGATTTCTCAAATTATTGACATATCACAATGATTATTTATGAATAATATTTATTCATAATAAAGTTTTATATTATTTCATAGAAAGTTTTTTGAACAGTAGTGATTAAATAAATTTTTGGCTGAATATGCACTAATACGATTTCTTTCTATTACAAAATTATTTCTATCAAAAAAAAGTTTTTTGCGTTTAATTGACTTTAAAGATCAAATTTATAATGATTTGTATTTGAAAAGGACTAATTGATCAATTGTTAAATAACAGACTTTTTTAAAAAAATAGTTTTAAAAATTATTTTTATTTACACCAATATTTGAACTATATTCTTTAGTCATCTTCAGGGTGCTATTATGATTTTTTTTAACCTTTGACCAATTTTCCCGTTTCAGAAATAAAACTATTATTAATAATTTTAGTCATTAAAACATTAAATTATTTTTTAATTGCTATATAAAATCACGAAAACTTCAACGAATCTAAAAACTAAACTATTTTATTATATACTAGAGTATTAATGTAAAACATCCACTCATTATAATATCCGCAACCTGTTGCTTCTAAAACGATATCTGAAGTCAAAACAAAAAGCATAATTATATTAATTCAGTCTTTAATTTTACTAAACAATATTAACAAGAATATAAGCAATATTTTTTTCATTTCACACCAGCTTGCTTAGTACTTGCTAAACTGACGGACCCCAAGAGAGCACTGTGAACCCTATTGGCTCCAATGTTTTTACATCAACATCATGTGAATTTAAGGTCTTTATTATAGTCGCTAAATTTGCTGATTTCTATGAAAGAAAAAAAAAATATTTTTTTCAATACACATTAAATTTGTTGGTGCGATGCATTCCTCCACTTACCAGAGCCGACTCAACCAATGGCCTAAATTGCACACTCCGTAAAGCGTTGTAAAATTCCGCAAACGCTGCACTTTTCTGTCGTTTTTCATTAATCATTTGAACGTATCTATCTCGTGGTAAATGCTGCATAAGTTCCTCTACGAAAGTACTGAATGTGCGTACATCGTAGGCGTGCAATGCCACATCCGCATCATTCAACAACACAATATCCAATAGTGGTTCAACGACATTGAATGCTGTCAGTTTTTCCAAGTGCGGCAGCTCACATGTGGCTTGCTCGACGACTCCACTGCCACTTTGGCTCAGATGCAGAAAATCTAAAATTTCAATAACTTCGGGAATTTGCTGTGCTTGCTCCAGCAATTGTGTGAACTGCGTGCTACGCAAATATTTTAATGCTTCACGAAAATTTCCGTCAATAATGTAGTGTTTGGCAACAATTTCATCAACAGTGGCTTTTGGTATCAAATTCACAAAATCCTTTAGTTCTTTCACAATTTCTGGTGAAATTTTTGTAATCGTTATTCCTTGCACCCGCGGCGCACTAGTCACAGTTATGTGATCGGCAAAATTAACTTTTAGTATAGAAAATATTATTAAAATATTTATAAAATATTTAATCATTTTTTTTGTTCATAAAAACACTTAGAACTGCACTTTTCGACGGTTACACGCATACTGCTCTTATCTTTTTTCATTCCTTATCAGTGTGACTATTTTGGTTCTGTTTATATATTTTTTTCTTTTTTTCTTCAAACTCGTAGAAATTTGATAAGATACATTATGCGGATCAAGAAACAAATGATAAGTAGTGCTCGAAATGGTTGTGCTGACATTATCAGCTTAGAATGGAACATAATAATGTCTCATTTAATTCACATACAAAAACATTTGTCGATTTGACAATAAAAAAAATCAACAGTTGTTCTTTTTATAGTTTCCAGAATATTAGAATATATTACAATAAATTAATAATTATAAATAATATATAAAAACAAATTAATAAATTTGACAATTCCTGATACTTGCAATCTAAAAATGACCTATAAACAATTAAATTAAAAAATGCTACCATAGATCAGTGCTGATATATTCGGTAGTATCCGAAAGAGTTATGTGCAGTAGGTTAAGTATAAATACTGGCCATTTATGTACGTTTCTATTTCTAAAACTACCATAAGTTATAATATGATATCGGTGTTTTTTATGGACGGATTTATATGTGAATTACTGTAGTCACTCCAAGCATTCACTTGTCTATTTCTTGAATTCTTGAATTTTCTGACTACAACTTTCTTTTTTATTTAAAAAAAAGATTTCTTGTCAGAAAACATATGTTAAATATTTAAGTACAATAAATTAATATAGTGTAAAAAAAAGTATTAATTTATTGAAATAGGTAGATATTAGTAATGTCAATAATGCCGTATGTAAAGGCCGTTAGCGTACAATAGAAATTAGTGTATGATGATATTTGCTTCTTTATTGGCAGTAATATAATCTAAGAGCAAGAAATTGAACACTTAGCTGATCACAATTAATATAAACTATGTGTATGAATATCATATCAAACTCATGATTGAGCTACATTCAGCATAATATGACAATATAGTTCGCTATACGCTTTTTCACAAAAGTTTATAAAAAACAAATTATTGATAACCTAAGAAAAATAACAGGAACTGGTCCATAGTGCTCTGTAGGTTTTGTTTTACTTAAAGCAGATAACTAGCACTGTACCTTAATTGGATAGACATGTATGAGAGGTGTGAGTCGTTCTTGGCCAAGTAGCCATTTTCAGCCAGCTCAATCAGTGGATGGCTGTCGCCAGTTATTAACATCGATTGTCTTCATATCGTTTTTCACTTGGTTTTCTACCAAAGATTAGAGAGAACTCTGCCGCGTTTTCCAATCAGCGGATATCAAATTGAAAACCTTTCTAAGCGAAGCATTTTCTTCCATTCGCATGACATGACCAAGCGGTTAAATTTATGTTCCTAATTTACGACATGTCAATGTCATGGTGACTTATTATACTTAACATATAATATAGAACAGGCAATGACGGGAATTTGTCATTTATATAATTGGGTATTCATTATATTGGACGTCTACTGTGCATAGATTGGGTGTATAGCTTAGTTTTTTGAATTTTCCAAGAGATGGCGTAACTTTTGTACTAAACATACTTTTACAATGGCATTTACAGCATTTGATATGTCATCATTCGTGAAAGAGTAAAAAACATATATTTTATTGCGTTTAAACTTTATCAAATTTTGTACCAATAAGATAGCATTTGCGGGAAACATTACTTTTTCGCTTTAATTAAAAATATGTTATATTTAACTAAATGAAAATGGAATTATAAATGTTTAATATGAACTTAAAAAAGATGTTTATACAGTTTTTCCAAAAGATACTTAAGGAAGTATTCAAATTGAACTTTGCATTATTAAAAAGTAAAATAAATTTTTAGTTTCAACAAAGTTTTTATTCCCGTTTACTTTGTAAGTCTAAAAGCGCTTAGAAAATCTAAAATTCATAAATCAAAACAAATTAAAATCTCAGATATAATTTAAAGCAATAAAACCGCGACTGTAATAACAACAGAAGTGAACCGCAACACTTGCGGTTTAAGTTTCCGAAAGCCTCGGCAACATATGAAGCTCGAGAACCATCAGAGGGAAGCCAAAGCAACAACACAACAACACAACAACAAAGCAGCATTAAACTATTTTCAATTTGCTCTCATTTGCATTAAGCTGCGTTCGTTGGGAATTATGCAAATTGTATTGCGCACTTTTAGGCGGCATGGTGCAAGACCACGATAAACAACAACAATTCAAAGAATAACAACAGGCACTTGCACAAACGACCGCAACAACTAAGTCCAGAAGAAAGAATACTTTTTGTTCTAAACAAAATATCACCACCAACAAATATTTTTTCCTTTCTTCATTTTATGTTAAATGCAGAAAAAGAAGAAATCATACAACAGAAGATGCTGGAAGTGTTTATGTTACAGTGGAAATCTATGTGTAGCCATGAGTGTTAAGTTAGAGTGGGAGTGGCAACAGACGGTGGCCAAGGCCACAAGTGCACTTAAGCATTTTTAAGTGCTGCAAGAAAATGAATGAAACATTTTCCAAATGAAAAATACAACAAATACCGCAAGCCGCTTTCATGTGTTGTTAGTTGGCTGCTGGAATTGTTCTACACTCCCTCCTGTGTATGCGGAATTTCTGATATGGAAATATGTGCAACTTGTGTGCTTGTGTGCTTGTGAAGCTGCACATTGCACTAAACAACTAAAAAATTAGCATTTTTCATATTATATATAAATTTTCTCCCTTATTTAAGCAGCACTTTGCCAGCACAAATTGTTCCACACTGCATTGTGTGAGGTGTTATGTGTAAGAATTGTGTAATTGTGCAGAGTTTACAATGGAAGTGACTTAGACAGTTGTTAGAGTCAGTCCGTATATGTAGCTGCGCTTCTACTAAAATATTATATATGCAAATTATTAATAAGTGCAGCCAAATAATTTCATCTTCTTCGAACTGCTAGAGTTGCCAGACTCTAACACCGCAATGTAAGTTCATTTGATTCATAAAAAAATTACAAGAAAATGACTTGCTGGTGTGTGCATACAGGCAGTGTTAGCCGTGTAGACAGTAAGCAATCCCATAAGCATGTCTCATTTGATATGTATGAGTACGCCTAGGATAGAATACGTGCACAAATATGTAAATGTCTTTATTTCACGGCCATAACCGTAAGAAGTGGCAGAAGGCAGCGAGGTATGTGCCTCAGTTCCTGTTCTGAGTTCCTTATGATTCTTCTGAAATGTTGCTATGTCTGTAGCTGTGAGTACATGGGGGAGTCATGACATTAGCAGTAATGATATTTTACCTCAATTCTTTACTGCTTTTATTTTCGAATTTCATTTAAGCAGAACATTTTTATTTGCAGTGCTTGAGTGAAAATATGCAAAATATTCGAACTGTGGCAACTTTATTGCAAAACTAATGACGTAGAGCATTGGAGTAAAAGTTTAATGCAACATTGTGTGCATACAAATTTTCCTAAAAATCATTCAATGATATTAAGAAAAAAACCATTTTGATTAAATTTTTATATTATTAAAAACATTTTCAGACCAGTCTAAGTAAATGGATACCTTTATATTGATTAAATGGTAAAAACCTATGTAAAGTTGAAAGTCAATTTTAATATTTCTAACAACTGGCTTATGCTATATGTAAAATATTCTGTTTTAAAATTAATAATAGAAACAAAATTTTGTTTTTTTCTGCTTGAAAAAAAAACTGGAAACTGAAGTATATCATATTGCAAATAACATGATAAGGATAGGTTAATCTGATAGGCTGTAAGCCCCGCATAAATCAAAAACAAAAACATTTTTAGAAGGCCCTTAAAGCTTATTTTAAAACTAGACTTCGGATTTAAACCCAAACCCCGCACTAGAACTAGTGCCCGTACATCGTGCTACCAGATGCCAAGTAAATATAGAAGTTAGTAGTACTTTTCAATTTTATCTTTAATATGGGATTGTAAAATAGAACATATCATATTAAAAATAGCAAGATAAATTTAGATCAAGTTTAGATTAAGATCAAGTTAGATTAAAGATTTAAAGATTTTTTGTAGTGTAAACTAGGCTTAAGAGTAAGTTGAGTCCAGTCCGTGTATGAAGTACTTCTAATATACACATACTGGTCTATCAAAGCGGTTTGTTTCAAATTTTTTAAACCAATTATTAAATTAAGCTCTATCTGTTTCTGTTTTTCTTTTTCCAGATAGAAAAGATTGTCCTCAAGTTAATTTATGTAAGTTTTCAATATAAACTATAACTATCAAGTTATTCTTAATCATTTCTTGTCTGGAACTGGCACGATAAAAACTTTATAAGAAAAGTTATGCTGAAGGATCACCGAATCTTGCTAACTCTTTTGCTAATTTTTTTTCAACATATACTTTCCCAGAACTCAAACTAAAGCTACCCAGGGGTTTTATACATAAAAATTGTTCAAGTATTGTAAGTAGGCTTGTGATTAGCAATCTTGATTGTTAATACTAAGGTCTGTATTCGAAATCGTATGAGAGCAAACGATGGTAATATTAAATTTACAAAGAATGTTTATAAGTTTGCTGGTACTTTAGTTACATATATAGACTTCATAACATATAAAGACTTCGTACTTCTCACAAAGAAACGTTTTTGTTAAGCATTATTATAAGTGACGACATTTAACAGACTTTATATACATGATCTTATATATTAATAATATGTAAGACATTATGTAAATCTTCTTGATCCTTCTTAATCCAATGCTCAAGTTTTGTTATGATACTTGCGATTTATCTGTAACAGAAATGTTTAAGGTTTACTACCTTCACGTATAGACTGATTCAATCTGATGCCAGAAAGGGATAAGAGGACAGTTCGGCACCCAAATTAATTTTTTGATACTAAGATTACAAAAATGTATACGTCGGAAAAATGTCATGCTGACAGAAAGAGTACACTCTACGCTTCTGTTAAAAATGTTCACTCTAGTGTTAGCAGTGATCACAATATTTTTGTTATAGTGAATATCCTGCATATATACTGAGATATATTAGCTTGTTG